CTTATTCTCTACTAATTATCACTTTGTTTAGCAAAATAATGTAGTTTTTGTCATTAAAATTAGCTATAATGATGAATTAAACCATGTCATAATTACTAAATAACTATTAATTAACTGCTAATTATGATGATGTCATCTTCCGGTTAGAAATTCTAGTAGGGCATTGCCCTCAATGCCTGCCCCTGCAGCCGCCTATGCTTGGTATTGCTCTATTTTCTACCTTTTTTAAAGTAATAATAACATAAACAATTAACTCAGTAATAATTGCTGATGTAGATTAGATCTAAATCTGCTTCCTACTATACTAAAAATAATTATTAAAATTTAAAAGTATTTTAAATTTTACTTTGTGTTACATTGAATTAATTTACTATTTAAATTTATAATCAATAAATCAATCAATGCAATGTGCACTACCACAGACTTTCATATAGTACAGGATATTTAACTAAGAGAGAATTCTAGTGTGGACATACAATTGTGGGACAAGTGTTTCTTGGTTGTGGTGACTGATTTGTATAATAATTATTACAGTATAAAATGAATATATTTTTGGTTAGTGTTAGCAACAGAATCCATGAGTTCAATTAGCTAGAACCAATAGTCTATTAATTTTATAAACCCATTTACACTATGCTCTTAAAGCAGTTTGAAACTGGTTTAAGAAATAAACCAGACTTCTATGTGTGGACAATTTCAATGCAACCAACTGATCTAAACCACCTCAGGTATAGGTGGTTTGAGATAATCAAACTGGTGTAAACAGGACTAATATCACACATGTATTAATTTCCTGTTGTATACTGAAGCCACCGTGCACACTTGATGTACCGTCTATCTGGAAATTTTTACTGTGATTTAAATTTTACTGAATTAGAATTTTGCAAAAAAATTAGATCATCCATATAGTTACATGCCACATTCAAAAATACATGACACAGTCTTATTTAGGAAAAATTAAATCACAGTACAATTTTAAAACACAAAATTTTCTACCACATTAATTTCCTGATCCACGGTATTTGACTGCCAGCTACTAACATTAGATCAATATTTTCCCTCTCTCTCATTCTTTCTGGTGGGTCAATAATGTATTCATTCTCAAGAGTTTGGGGAGCAGTAGCTCTATTCCTGTGTCTTTTATCTGTTGCAGACTCACGTGAGTTGATTTATTACTAAATTCTGTGCATGCATTCACTCCTGGTTGCTTGCTTGTATTGTTACTGTAATTTTATCCTGATTTTTTGTGACAATGACATTGGCATGCTATGTTTCTAAATAGCAATATACTAGTTTTGTGTTAAAAAGCAGAATTTGAATTATTGCAAATTTGTATGCATATCATAGTACTGCATGCAATGGTATGTTTCATCGCCCACGCCGTAGGCTTATAGGCGAGGGTATGGTACTGCGCTCGTCGTGTCAGTGTGTGTTTGCAAGATGGCTTTTTCCCCTCCGTTTTCACATCCTTGCTGCTCTTTGCTCAGATCTTGAGGAGTCCAATTGTCAACTAAAATGGTTCCTAAAAGTTGTTTTCCTTCGCTTTACTTCTTTTTCCGTCTTCTCCTATCCCGCAGCATGAGCCAGTAATGTTACTAAACATAGTCGGGATTTCCTGCAACTCTCTCATGACGAAGGTACACATCAAACCATAGATACTATATACCCCTGGATATGAAACACGGCCCGACCGGATGTTCTGAGGCTTGTTTCACCGGAAATATGTCATATTACGTTTTCATTCAGAATAAAAATAAAACAATGATAAAAAGTATTATTATTATTGCTAATAAAAGTGTGATTTTATGTACAATAATACAATAAAACTTGACATTTATCATGCATTATAATTGCTGAAACTTTCCTTTTCTTTTAGTATATGCAGTCTACCAATGCATGACTTTCCCATCTCTTGTCACCTAAAAATGATGATTTTGACAACACAATTGCACCAAAACTAAAAATACACTCCTTTTGAGAATAGGCCCACTACAACTACCTATTCTCAAGCTACAAAACCATATAGAAAAAGTTCCAATTAAGTCAAGTATTACAAAGAAAAATTGGCTAGAAAGGTGGGGCTTGAAAAACCAAGATTTAGAAAATAACAGCTCTTTTACTTAACACAAACTCTAAATAATAGCCCCACTACAACTAGTAAACAATAACCTATCAGTACAATAAAAAATGTTAGCCTAATTCAACAGAGTTAAGCTAAAAAAGTGGCTTGAGTGAAATGTACACAACAAGTAGGCTATGACATCCATTGTAGAACTAAAATATGCACTCAAACTATCGTTTATGAGCATTATTTCAATATATAAAGGCTTTGCAAAGTCCTCTGAGGGATCATTCAGCTATTTTAACAAACGAATAGGCTACTGTGATTGTTTTACTTACCCTGGCAGCCATGAATGCAGCGAAACAAGGGTGAGGACAGCCGGATGTGACGTTTATGACGTTTCCTTATGGGATTTTATATGTGTGCATAGAGGAGTTTCGTATCCAGGGGTAGATTATATAGTATCTATGATCAAACGATAGATTTTAATTTTAGGAAATTTGTCTCAAATTCGGTACGGTCTCAAATGCGGACCGGACGGACCCGCCCGGACCAAAAATTTTGTAGACTAAAAAAAATTTGGCGGGCCGCAGCGGACCGCAACGGACCCGCTCTGCAACAGCTGGCGGGTTTTCATTACAGTTTAATAATGATTCCAAGCAGCATTATTCAAGGATGTGTTGCTCTTCTTGCTAAATTTTCTAGCTTAGATCTCGCCATATTATGATTCTTGGAATTTATTAAAGTGAGATACGAGTTCAAATTTCACTGTTGCATTTAAATGATTTTTATATAGTGATCAAGTCAGCCTGTCAG